TTCAAAATGTGGCTCTCGCCGTAGAGCCGTGCACATGTGTTTATAACGTTTGTAAGAGTTTCACGCCACCCGTGGCCAACGTACCAGACATTATGTTTTGGAAGGATTTGGGATTATGCGGGTGCAACAATTACGTTGGTTCGCGGTGTTGAAGTCCCAGGGATGGCGTTCTGGCGCGCAACAGTCAGGTTGATCTGTGGCCTTGGAGTCCCGAGCACAATGTTTTGGCATGCTTGAAAGTCTTCAAACGGTTGTCTTCCAACGTGGCAGTTCCCTCAATGGAAATGAGCCGTTTTAGTTGCCCATGCAGAGGGAGCTTAGGAGGGTTTAGTCCAACATCGTTGATGACTCTTGGGTTTACAGTTGTCCTCTTCCTACTTCTCCTTTTCCTCCTTTTCCTCCTCCTCCTCCTACTCCTCCTCCTCCTCTACCTCCCCCTCCCTCCTCCCTCTTCTTGTCCCCATCATCCATGTCGCGCGTGGCGACGTCATCAGCAACCGGGCTGGGACCAGCTTGCGCGTGCGGAAATGCCGAACAGTGGCAGATTCCCATGGCGTTACTCAGGGGCAAGAGACAGGAGTAGCAGGGACTCATCAGCTACATCGCTGGGAGCGGCTCGTGCGCGAGACCAGGTGAGCCTGGGCCAGCCAAGATCAGCAGCGTCATCAGCTACATTGCTGGGGGCGGTTCGTGCGGCGAGCAGGGGCCAGCCAAGATCAGCAGTGGTTGACACAATGCTGGGAGCGGTTCGTGCGAACCAGAAGGAAAGCAGTGGCAGCCCACGATGGCGCTGCGGGGAGTCGAAGGACGGGCCCGATGCCCTCAGCTACGCGGCACGTCGACGGAGCAGGGGGAACCCGAAGGTCGAGCCCAACGTGGTCCGCTACAGCCGACGCGATGGACGGAGGCCGATGGCGATGAAGGACGAGCCTGCACGAAGGATTGCAAAAAAACACACACAAAAAACAAAAAACCCTTCGATTGCAAAACAAAACAAACAAAAACAAAACACACACACAAAAACAAAAAAAAACAAAAAACAAAAAAACCTTCGATCAGCTACAGCGCTGGGATCAGGGCAAGACAAGCTGGAGCCAGCCCCTACGCTGGAGCCAGAAGCGAAGGACGAGACCGACGTCATCAGCTACTGCGCTGGGGTCAGGGCAGGAAGCGGTGATCGCCTCCCTGCGGGAAGCGGGAGGCGAGGTTGGGGCCCCACGCGAGAGAACCCATCGAAGGTCGAGCCCGACGCCGTCAGCTACAGCCGACGAGCTGCGCGAAGCGGCAAGTCGAAGGTCGAGCCCGACGCCATCAATGGAGCCCAAGAAGAATCGATCAAAACCTTCAGCAACAGCAACTGCTATGCGATAAGTGGGAGGCCACGATGGGATCCAATTCTGACTTCGGCACCCTGCTGCGAGAAGCGGGAGGCGAAGGTAGAGACCGATGTCGCTACTCCGGGGATGGGGAAGGTGACGATGGAGCCCGGTGTCCCGACGCGTCTACCCCGAGCGCTACTGTGCGAGACGCGAGAGGCACACCTCATCAGCTCCTATGTTGGTGGGCCAGCTCGTGCGAGAAGACAGTCGTTAGCTACATACAGCGCTGGGATCTGCTCGCGCGAGACATGGCAATGGGTGCAGGGCTTGCGCGGCAGGCCGAGGGGATAGCTGGGGGCCCACGTCGTCAGCTATCAGTCGAGACGGGTTCAGGTTCGCACCCGCCTCCAGAAGGGCCCTGAAAACTGAATTTCGTCGCCCAGGGACGGCCTGGGCAGGGGAGGCTTGATGTCGTCGGCTGCGCTCTCTTGCTCATAGTGCAGCAGATCCTGGTCGCATAACCCTCGTAGCAGAATGCTCCTCCTCCTTCTCCTCCTCCTCCTCGTCCTCTTCCTCCTCCTCCCCCTCCTCGTCCTCCTCGTCCTCCTCGTCCTCCTCCTCCTCCTCCTCCTCCTCGTCCTCCTCGTCCTCCTCCTCCTCCTCCTCCTCCTCCTCCCCCTCCTCCGTAGCCATTTTGGCTCAAGTCCCATGCTGCTGCGGGCCGAGCCCGCATTGGCACCCACGGACACCGCTGGCCCGCGGCGAGCAAGGCCCTTGTGCCTGGCAGTCTTTCTCGTGTGCCTCTGCCGTGGGAGTTGGGCCCCCACACCGCAGTTTCCAGTCGCCTCTCGCATCCGCGGCATGGCCGATGATGCCCATGGTGAGGAGGTCCCCGCGTCGCTGGTCGAGCAGTTTGATCTTGTGGCGACCTTCCCTTCGCAGGAGACGGGCGCTGGCCGTGGGAAGGGCGGCAAGGGGGCCTTGCCACCCCCTCGCAAACGCGCTGCTCATGATCATTCTGCTGCTGATGCAGCTGACGGGAACGACGCCTGGTCGTCCGACGACTACCTTCGCCAGCTGTGCCGCGATGAGTTCGACTCCATGCGGGCTGCTCTCACTTCATCCGTCTCCGAGTCCGTCAGGGCCACCGCTGCTGAGAACCATTCGGTGCTGCTGGGATCCATCGACAAACTTCGGGAGCAGGTCTCTGGTCAGTCCGCATCTATCGACCAGCAGGTTCAGAGCGTGGTTCGTCCTCAAGTTGACGCCCTGGCTCGCAGGCTGCAGTCGCAGATCGACGAGCACAAGAAGCAGATCGACGCATGTGAACGACGACTGGGCGATCATGACGACCAGCTCTCTGCTCTTCGTGCTGAATTGGTTGAACTACGCCGCCATCTTGCTGTCGCTGAACAACGCCCCCAGGCCCCGCCACAGATCCCCGCAGGTTTCGACAGAGATGCCGACTCCACCCTCCTCATCGCGGTGGCCCAGCGTGCCACTTCGCTCGAGGCCATGTCCGCCTGCATTCAGAACTTCCTCTCGGAGACGGGCTTCGACTCCAGCGAGTACGAGATTGTCTCCAAGGGCACCCTCCCGTGCAAACGCTTCGCGGTTCACTTCAAAGGGATGGTGCAACCAGCATCAAGAAAAGTCCTGCGCGCCCTCTCAGCCCTCAAAGATGAGAACGGGTGGAAGGCCTTCTTCGCCGATCTTCCCGGCCTGTCCGAGCGCACACGTGTCCACATGGGCCCCGACAAGTCCCCGAAGCAGGTCAAGATGGAGTACGTCCTCAGGAAGTGCCGCGCCGCCTTCGCCACCGAGTTCTCGTCCATGCGCTTCTTCACAGATCGGGACCGCGGGTTCCTCTCCATCGGCTGGGACAAGATCCTCAAGGTTGAAGTGGAGGCTGGGGGTGCTCCTCCTACTCTGCGCTGGGACGTCGCCAAGCTGGAGCGCCACGACATCACCAAGGCCCGCGCCATGCAGCTCACTTCTTTCCTCACGGCCTCGGCAGACGAGCCCGTGTGGTGTCTTTGACGCGCTGTCCCTCTTTCCATCTTCGCGGTCCTGTTCCTCGGGTTCGGCCACTGCCTTGCGAGTGGTTACTTGGAACTGCAGGGCCCTCCTTCAGGCTGCTGGGGCCAAAGCAGCCATCAAGCTTAACTACCTCTCCAAGCTCGGCCTCGACAAGTCCATCGTCTCTCTGCAGGAGGTGCACCAAGACGCCCTCCAGCTGGAACACTTCGTGCATCGGGTGTGCCCGCGATCCACCGTCCTTTCGAGTTTCTGTGGGTCCGAACCTGCTGACCGTGCGCGTGGTGGCGTCGCAGTCCTGATCCCTCCGCTCGTGCATCTTCCTGATGATCCTGTGCATGTGGAGTCCCATCCTCTGATCCCTGGGCGTGTGCTGATGGTTACCCTGCGCGCCGCTCGTGCCTGCGTCTACCTCTTCAATGTCCACAACCACGAGCTGGGGACCACTGCCATCACAAGAGTGCGTGATGCTATTCGTGCTGCTCTCGCTGAGGCTCGTGCCGAACCACAGCGTGTCCTGGTGATTCTGAATGGGGACTTCAACATCTCGGAGGAGTCCGCCATGTCCCTGCTGGCACCGGTTGCGGCGTCTCGTCGTGGTGGCCGTCGGCACCACACCTGCCTGGAGGCCCATCTTCGATGACATGCTGGAGATCCAGGGCAGCGAGCCGACCCACTACGAGCGGGCGGCGGGCAAGGCCAGCATCATAGATCGCGTCTTTCTCTCCTTGCAGGGCTGGCAGGTGCGCCAGATGAATCTCACCTCCGCCACGATGGGGTCGGCGGCGGCGCTCTCGGATGCGAAAATCTCGGATCACACTGCGGTCATCGTCTCTCTCGCGTCTCGCTCCGCTCGTCAGCCTGCTGCTCGCCCTATTCCACGCCGTCTCTGTCGCGACCCTCGTTTTGTCCGACGTCTACGTGGTTTGGTGGCCTCTTCCTCGTGGGATAGCATGTCGCCACCTTTCAAGCTAGAGCATTACAAACATCTCATGCGCCTTGCCGCGTCAGAGGTGCGCGACTCACTCTTTACTGACAATCCCGACAGTCTCGACACCTTGTTGCAGGTGGCGCGAATGATATCACGCGTGGTCTGGGGGCAAGACGTCAAGCTGGCCCTTCGGATGCTGGAATCTCACCCTCGCGCCCGTGATCACATCACCGTCCGCTCCTCCGAGGTTGCGCTCATCCACCCCTCGTCTTTCTCGGAGTGGGCATCATCCATCCAACGGCAAGCTGCGGAGGTGCGTCGGCGTGCACTTGAATCCCAACTTTCTCGCCAGCCTTCTGTCCGGGCCACCCGTCTTCAGTTGCGTGCGTTGGAGAGGAAGGCGAGGCTCTGGTCACCATTCTCTCGCTCTTTGGCATTGTCGTCGATGCGAGTTTCGGATGACTGTCTGGTTTCTGACCCCGTCGAGCGCGTGGAGGCCTTGGCGTCCTACTGGAAACCTGTCTTTTCGCGGAAGTCTTGGGATATCGATGCGGCTCGGGCTTATATCCCCTCCTGGCTCGACCCCGTGAACACCGTCGATCTCCCGCCCCCGAACTTTGCACAGCTTCGGCGGGCCCTCCGTGCGGCCCAGGACTCCGCCCCTGGCATAGACGGCCTACCCTACGCCTCGTGGGAAGCGTTACCTTTTGGTCTTCATGTGTTGACGGATGCCCTCGATTGGATTGGCGATGGTCAAGCTCTCTTCGATTGCTCCTCTATCACTATCCAGGCTTTTCTCCCGAAGCTCGTCACAGACGTTGAGTTGCGTGATGGGGAGTGTACTCGTTCGCCCGACAAGGTTCGCGTCCTTGGCTTGCGGAACACAGACGTCAAGTTGCTGTCATCCGTCATGCATCGTGCTCTCCATCCCCTCATCCATCATATCGTCCCGCCTTGTCAACGAGGGTTCGTCGGTGGTCGCAACTTCTGAGTCAACATTCTGGAGCTGGATGCGCACGCTCGCGAGCTTTCAGTGGGCCCCCCTGGATCGCTCGACATCCCGCTTCTCTTCTCGCTCGATTTCGGCCAGGCGTTCCCCTCACCCAACCAGGAGTTTATGGCGTTTGTTCTTCAGGTACTGGGGCTCCCTGAATCCTTCTTGGCTTTCGTTTCGTTTCTCTACTCGGCCATCCAGGGCGTGGCCTCGGTGAATGGGGAATTTGTGCCGATATTCTGGATTCGCAGTGGGATTATTCAGGGCTGTGCGCTCTCGGGCTCTCTCTTCGCCCTCGCTACCTCCGCCTTCCTCAAGGACCTTGTGCTCTCCCTGGAGCCCTCTGGTCGCGGGATAGTTCGGGCCTGCGCTGACGATATTGGTGGTGCGACTCGGTCTGTGGCGGACCTCGTCCCTGTACATCGGGTGATGGTCTTGGCTGAATCGTTCGCTAGCCTCTCCCTGAAGCTCTCCAAGTGCCTCCTGGTCCCCCTCTCGGGCGTCTTCTCTGAGGAGCTGGCTGCTGCTGTGGCCGAACAACTTCGTGTATGGGTCCCCGAGTGGGCCTCCTTTGGCGTCGTGGAGGAGCTTCAATATCTGGGGCTCTGGCTTGGTCCCTCTGTGACCGTTGAACGACAATGGCGTGCTCCTTTGGCCAAGATACAGCACCGGGCTCAAGCTATTGGCCGTGGGACAACCCCGCCCAGTCTATCGGCCATACTCTATTGCACACGTGCGGTTCCGACATTATCATATGTCGCCCAGTTCTGCCACATGCCGCTGGCTGTTCTTCGCCTGGAGCTCATGACCTTGGCGCAGGTCTTCCGGGTAGCCTTGGGCACGTTCCCGCTTTCCTGCTGGTCCCTACTTCACGCCTGGGGAGGTCCTCGCATCACGCGCTGGGCCTTTTTGGGATGTGCGGCGCTTGCCCGTGCAGCCCTTCATACGTTCCCGCAGTTCTACGACATCCACAATCGGCTTCGACATCACGTGGCTGCTCATCCTGATTGGTGCACCCTGGAGATGATTGGTTCTGGCAGATGCTACCCGCACTTCTGGCGCTCAGAGGCGTTCGTGGAGATCCTCCAGCGGGCTGCTGCTGGTACCCGCAGTGGCTCACCGTCACCGTGCTGGTCTCCTGACTGGCCATCTGTGGCTGCGGTCGCGGCGCGTGCCGCGCTGGCCGAGGATGCAGCTCATCGTCCTCGCCCTCAGCGTGCTGCTCATGCTGCTCTACGTGCTCTTGGCCCTCCCATCTCGCCGCTGGTGTCCCTGCTCCAGACGCGGCTTGCCAAGCTGCTCCCACGGCACGCCTCTCTGGTCACCTCCCTCCCGTGGGACTCAATCGCGAGCACGTTGGCCGCCTGCCCCTGTTCCTGGGCCTGGGCTGCGCTTCGTACCTGGGCTGACGGTTGGATGACGTCGTACCGCATCCTGCACCCCCTTGGCAAGCGCCGCTGTGCCTTCGGGTGTCCTGGCTGCCCCGACGCTCTTCGACACTACGCCCGATGCCGCCCCTTCCACAACGCTCTTCGTCGTGCCCTGGCGCGTCCTCTACCTCTGCCTGTGCTTCATCGATGGGGGTTGCTGGAGCCGAATCGACCCGCCTTTCACTTCCTCGCAGTCGCGTACGCGGCCTACAACGCAGCCAAGTGCGTGGAGGGATGGCCGCTTTCGGCTGAGTCCGCCTTCTCCTGTGCTCTGGCTGGGGTGCGCTCGGCGGCGTTGGCGCGCCCAGTGGGGATCTCGGCCCGTGATCGATTGCGGCTTCGCCCGCGCCGTACGTGTCCCTCACCTTCGTCCTCCTCGGCTTCCTCTACGAGTTCATCTTCGAGTCGCTCGCCGAGGCTGACCCCGCCTGTCTCTGTCTCGTCAAGCCGATCTGCGTCGCCACAGCCGCCGTCGTCTGTTGGTGGCCTCACTCCTGCCGTCTCCTCGCCGTCGACGCCCCCTACTGAGATTGCTACCGATCCTGAGGATATTGAGTCTCGTGAGCAGGTATTTCCTTCTCAGACCCAGAAGCGGAGCCTTGCGATCTCGAGTGCCACTTCGTCGAGTTCGTCGTCTTCGCTGTCCTCATCTGACCGTGACCGCCCTGCTCTTCTGCCCGTCTCGTATCCCTCGCCTGTTTATTTGTCTTGCACCTCCTCCAATGCCACTTCCTCGATTGCTGATCGCCCTCAATATGTGTTTGGCTCCTCTGGGGACTGTGGTGCCCCCACGGTCCCCACTGTCACGGAGTCTGCGGGCCGCTGTCCTCTCTCTCCTCGCTCCCATCGTCCTCGGGTGAGTCTCCCTGGTGCTGCTGCTGCTGTCTCCCCCGACTCTCTTCCCCGCACGCTGCCTGCGTCCTCGGCGAATGCCCCCACGCTGCGGCTTGGGCGCGGCATTGGCCGCCTGCCGCCGCGATAGGCAGGCGTGACGAACCTCACCTACGCTGGTCTCCTCCTCCTCCTCCTCCTCCTCCTCCTCCTCCTCCTCCTCCTCCTCCTCCTCCTCCCCCCTCCTCCTCCTCCTCCTCCTCCTCCTCCTCCTCCTCCTCCTCCTCCTCCTCCTGGCAGCAGGGGCCGAGATGGCAGGCGGAACGGGGCTCCCGCAGGCTGCGGCGGCGAGGTGCTGGCCCACCAGCTGGTCGCGAACGAGGACATCCGCAAGCAGGAGGGACGCCGGGGGATCAATGAGAGAGGGAGAGAGAGGGAGGAGGGAGGGCAAGGAGGAGGAGGAGGAGGAGGAGGAGGAGGAGGAAGAGGAGGAGGAGCGAGGAGCGAGGAGGAGGAGGAGGAGGAATAGAGAGAGAGAGAGAGAGATAGAGAGAGAGAGAGAGAGAAAACTCAAAGGAGGAAAGGGTACCCATACTGCTTCCCTTCCCCCTTTTTCGGGGCCTCCTGGGGGGCCCTCGTCGCCACCGTTGGGTTCGCTTCGAAATCGCGGTGAGAACGCACCCAGGGAGAGGTCTGGGGAGCAGCGGTATCAGTACCTTACGTCGGGCCTGTCCCCCTACAGGGGGATTTTCGACGAAAAATAATCAATACCCCCACAATTGTCAAAACATAGTCCAACAATAGTCTGGGGACTATTTTTGGACGAATTATTTGTATTTTTTGGGCATTTCCGGAGTATGTGTTATTTTTCGTCGGCAATCCCCCTGTATGGGGGACACGCCCGACATAACAGTACCTCTTGGTTTCCCCAAGGGCACCCAGTCCACATGGTCCTCCGTCCGTGGCCGGGTGAAACTCTGCGCCCGTTTATCAGGGCAGGGGGGGAGGAGGAGGAGGAGGAGGAGGAGGAGGAGGAGGAGGAGGAGGAGGAGGAGGAGGAGGAACATGACAAGCAGTGCCCTCCAGGCGAGTTTTCGGCGGGACCCGCGACGAGGGGAACGGGGCAAAAGGACGGGACAACACACACACACACACACACACACATCGGCGAACAGCAAGAACTGATAGCGTCAAGGTAAGCCTAGGGGGAGCAGGAGGAGGAGGAGGAGGAGGAGGAGGAGGAGGAGGAGGGGCAGGGGAAGGAGGAGGAGGAGGAGGTCCGTAGCCATTTTGGCGCCAGTGCGAAACCGTCGCCCTGTGGCTTCGTACTTGCCTGCGGCCGAGGGACTGGCTCGAGGCGGGCCGCCCTCTCGGCAGGCCTGTCTTGCACGATGCACCCTCCTCGAAGGGGCGGTCATCCGCCCAAGAGGTTGCTTTTTCTTTGGCCACACTATATGTCCATTTACTCCGACTACAGCTCCGATTTACTGAAGTCGTCTATCCAATTCCGGCTCCTAATTCTCTGGCCCCTGCGCTCTCCGGATCCATCCCAAATCTAACATATATTCGTTTGTCTGACTCCGGCGCCTCTCCGATTCTATCCGGCTCCGGCTCCGACCTCACCACCTCCATGTACCTCTCCGACCCTACGTTCTCTCCGATTCCGTCTCAGAAGATCGATCCCATTCTTCCGACTGCGGTTGCCCAAAGTCGACTCCAGAGTCTGAGAGGCCAACATCGGCGCCCCGGCGCCCACCCGCTGCACCCGCGTAGGTGCCTTTCTTGCGGGACCGTGTCCGTGTCTGTGTGTCACTATATGTCCAGAGTGCCCCGCGAAAGAGGGGGTCCTTGCGCAGGCCCAGCTGTACTGTCAAAGACGACGCGATGCATTCAGGTGTCGGGAGGGAAAACATCACACAGACACAATTAATCGTCCACTCCCAGGAAAATATGGGGAAATATGGGAAGTGGGGGGGAAGACATAAACCCAAAAAAGATAGGAAAATATGGGCAATATTTTTATTTGTGTGTATTTATTTGTGTGTGTTGTGGGCCCCTTCAAGGTGGCTCTTCTCCTGCACCTGCCGCTCTTCCTGCTCCTTCTGGTGCTGCCAGCGGCAGTGGGGCCGACGCTCTCGGCCGCCGGATCCCCGACCCGGCGCGCCTCTCCAGCCACGCTTCGGCGGCGAGCGCGGGGGGGAAGTGAGGAGGGGCGGGCCTTCTCTCAGAGCGTGAATTACCTACCCCGCTTTCGCTTCCAGGCAAAACCAAGCCATACCACGCGCCTCCTCGTCAAGCGGCCTGACCAGTACAGGCTGCAATTTGGCATCGTTTGGTATCAAAAGCGAGGTAGGTTTGGTTTCCCCCTATTCTCAGAAGTCTCGGAAGATTTCGTAATAAATTGAGGGGGGTCTTATTTCGGGGGGGGTCTCTTCCAGGCTATCTTGGAGGGCCTGGGGGGGTCTGGGGACGGTGTTTTGGAGGGTTCTCCCACGGGGGGGGTCTGAAATGGCTTGTCTTGGAGGGTCCAGACCCCCTCCCTTTGATTGCGAAATCTGGAGTAAGCCTTCCCCGAAGGCAAGAAAAAAACTTCTCAGAAGGCGCGGGGGCTTCTGAGAAGTCCCGCCGCCTTCTGAGAAGGCCTTCTCCTTCTCATTTCCCCCCCTCGCCCGCCGCCTAACGCTGCAGGAGGACCGCCACGAATGCGAAGAAGCCCTCTCGCTCGTCATGCAGCACAGGGATGAGGAGGAGGAGGAGGAGGAGGAGGAGGAGGAGGAGGAGGAGGAGGAGGAAGAAGTCATCTTGCTCGTCGTGCAGCACAGGGGGCAAATTTTCGGGCCGAACGACAGGGGGGGATAGGGAAAGGGGGGGGTACGAAATCTGCCGCCTGCAGCTGGTTGCGGCCCCGCCGCCGGGCCCATTCCTCGATGCACGGGCGCTTCCCGGCGCCGGGAGGCGCCGGGAAAATCAGCTGCGCGAGCTGATTCTGCACCCTGCCCTTTGCTATCCCCCCTTTTCGTCCCCCTCGAGCAGCGGGGCCAGCATGCCTCACCCCGCGGGGCGCCGGGCGGCAACGTCGGCCTCCGCAGAAGCCGCCGCTGCGCTGCGGGAGAAGGGGGGGACGACTGTGAAGAAGTCATTTTCAGGCGTCATGCGGCAAGGGAGGCCAACATTCAGGAGGGAAAGAAACACACAGACACAATTAATCGTCGACTCCCCAGAAAATATGGGAAAATATGGGAAGTGGGGGGGAAGACAAACACCCAGAACATATTGGAAAATATGGGGAAATATGTTATTTGTGTGTATTCATTTGTGTGTCCCAGAGCCCCTTCAAGAAGGGGGGACGACGCGTTGGAGGCCTGGGGAGATGGCGGGGTGTGGATCTTCCCTTTGTTCTCCCTCGGCTTTTCCTCTCTCTCTCTCTCTGTCCTCTCTCCCTCTCTCTCCCTCCCTCTATCCCTCTCTCTCTCTCTCTCTTTTTCGTGTTTCAATTCTCTCTCTCTCTACCCCCCGCTCTTTCGCTGAATTCGCGTGCGCGTGCATGATCGGCTCTGCCCAGGACGAGGATGACGGCTACGACGATCACGACGACGATGACCACAAGGACGAGGAGGAGAAGGAGGAGAAGGAGGAGGAGGACAACCACTGTAAACGTAAGACGCGTCAGCGATGTTACAGTAAACCCTCCCTCGAAGTTCTTTCCCATGGGGCCCTACAAGAAAATTCACCATTGGAAGACAAACGCCCGAGAATCCTCAATTGTACTGACACACCATTCCTGGGACTTGAGCGTCGCGAGTCAACGTGACTGTTGCGCCCTTACTAGCTTAACCCGTCCCAGGACACCATTCCTGGGACTTCAACATCGCGAGCCAACATGATTGTTAGCTTTTGACAATCCTGAATGTTGCCAGAACGCCATGCCTGGGACTTCGACCATGCAATTCCTTGAAGCTGTTGCAGACTCCCAGGCGAATGAGCTCGACGCTAAGACGAGCGCCCCAGCTTGAAAAACGAAGCGTCCTCCACCCCGTGAAACCGCTGCGAACGTTTAAGACAAGTGTGCAAGGCGCGCAGGCGGAGAGCCAAATAGCGAACGACACGCCCATCATCGATGACACGGCTGCGAATCTTGTAAGTTGAGCAGGGACCGACCGTCCCGGCATTCCTATAGTCATACCACGAAATGTTCTCAGAACCCAAGCATGTTCGAAGAACACAGCAATGTTCTTAGATCATTCGCCCGATGTGCTAAAACAAGACAGTATCAACCAGGCATGTTCTAATAGCATTTCGTGGAAACCACAAAAGGCTCTTAGAACCTTGTTTGGTAGGGCTATAGGCGAGCCAGGACGCTTCGCCACTGCTTGAGTAAGGCGAGTGCGCGCGGCGGTCAGGCGAGGGCCGCCTTTTGCTTTGCAGACGACACCGCCTCCGCCCGTGCAGGGCTTGCAACTTCCAAGCTTCAGCACATCACACACTTGGTGAGATGGTCTCGGCGAAGCCCGCCCCGCCCTGCCCGCGCGTCTGGGGCTCGCGGCGGGGAGGAGTGACACAGAAGGAACACGGATGGAGGAGGAAGAAGGAACACGGATGGAGGAGGAGGAGGAGGAGGAGGAGGAGGAGGAGGAGGAGGAGGAGGAAGGGAGGAGAGGAGGAGGAGGAGGAGGAGGAGGAGAGGAGGAGGAGGAGGAGGAGGAGGAGGAGGAGGAGGAGGAGGAGGAAGAGGAGGAGGAGGAGGAGGAGGAGGAGGAGGAGGAGGAGGAGAGGAGGAGGAGGAGGGAGGAGGAGGAGGATGAGGAGGAGGAGAGGAGGAGGAGGAGGAGGAGGAGGAGGAGGACAGGAGCCCCTCCCAGGTGGAGCAGGTGTCGCGCGCCACGAGGGCCAACGCGCTGGCGTCCTCGCAGCAGGCCCGACAGGACGACGGACCCAAGGCGATCGAGGCCGAGGTGAAGGAGCCCTCGCCGTCTTCATCGTGGTCGTTATCTTCATGGTCGTCGCCGTTGTCCTCCAGGGGGGGGGGGAGGGGAGGGAGGGAGGGAGGGAGGTGGAGGGCGCGGGGGGTGAGAGGAGGAGTCAGGGGGAGATGGCGAGGGAACTAGAGTGACAGGTTTGGGCGGGGGGGGAACGGGATGGGCAGGAGGAGGGAGGAGGGAGGAGGAACCTATCTTTCGGGTCTGCGAGCGGGCCGCCATTGACGGTTCCTCGGTGGAACAGGAAAAGGCAAAGGAATTGCTAATGGGGGACACCGTTTGCTTCGGGACCCTCCACCTCGCAGCCTGTTGCGGGGGTTGCTAGATGGGCGCCGGCCCGGGCTGGCAACCCCCAAGACGGCTTCCCAGAACGCGGCAGTCTGCGCGCAGCGGTCGCAGCAGCCACCGTCTAACGGCTGACAGCGGGATTCTGCACCCAAGCCAGACCTCCTGCCGGACATGTTGCATCAGCCTGGCCGAAGCAACGAGCCGCGGGCTGCTTGGGCATGTTGTGCAGAGGCCGTTCGCCCCCGGCCCTGGCATGGAGCGCCGGGTGAAAGGCGGCGGACATCGACAGACGACATCGGACGAACGTACCTCCCCTCGGGCGTCGGGGTGATGGCCACCCCTCCCTCGGGAGACGCCGACGACGGTGCGGGGGGCCAGAACAAGGGGATGTGATGGTCATGAGGGAAGCAGGGCGGATGAGAGCGGGGGCGAGTCGGGAGAGGCGGAGGTGGGAACTTGGGGTGGAGAGAGATGGAAACGGTTCCATCGGCCTTCCGAGGGGGATGGGGCCTACTTACATGGCTAACGCGGCTCCGCGTCTGCGGGGAGCGACTCCCCCCATCCCCCACGCAATGCTCCCTGTCGCGCCCCGTTGTCAACTGCCGCCTTCTTGCCAGCCATGTCGGAGCATGCCAGCCCATCCTCATCCTTCCTGCGCCCTCGACGCAATGCGTGGACGTGTCGGCGGAGGAGGGCGGAAGGAGGAGGCGATGAAGATCCAGACAGATGCGCTGAAGGCCTTCCAGTCTAGATGCACTCTGCTCTACTCCTCTGCTACTGCTGCCCCGCCCGATAGGGCGGGCAAATCCTGCCCCCCCCCCTCGATGGCACGAGGGCAGAACGGGAAAGGGAAGCCAAGGCGACATGTGATCACGCATGCTGCTGCATGCTGCCGAAGCTGTTACCCCACTTCGTGGGATTGTGAGCCTTGTGCGTGCTGTGCCTGCCGCGGTGACCGAGGTCAGCGATGGAAGAAGTGGGGAACGGCTTGCATACTGGGCGGGGAACGAAGGAGATGCGACGCAGAGCCGAACTGACCGCAACTCTAGACGTTTCGCGTAACCCCACCAGCCCATGCAGAAACGATGCCCAGATGAATTGCCTCGATCAGGGAAGTGGGCAGCAAGCAGAGGAAGGGTCCCCCAGTGGAGGCCTCTTGGAGCGTCTTGGGGGCCTCTCGGCGGCCCCGGGCGCCTCTTAGAACGTCTTGGGTGCCTCGGGGAGCTTCTTGGGGCCTCTTGGGGGTATCTTGGGAGCCTCTTGGAGGCCTCTTGGGCGCCTGTTGGGGCCTCCAGGGGCCTCCTGGGCAGCTCTTGGGGCCCTCTTGAAGCGCTCTTGGGAGTCTTGGGAGCGCTCTTGCAGCCCTCTTGGGCCATCTTGGAGCCATCTTGAAGCCTTGGATGGCCATCGGAAGCGAAAAGGCGAGAAAGCCAAACACATTGATTTCCATTAGATGTTGAAAGGATGTTGGCCTCTTTGGGGCCTCCTGGGGGAGCTCTTTGGCCACTTAGAGCCGTCTTGGAGCGGTCTTGTGGCCTCTTGGAGCATCGTGGGAGCCATCTTGAGGCATCTTGGGGTATCCTGAGCCATCTTGGAGGTCATCTGGGGCTCTCCCAGGCGCTCTTGGAGTCATCTTAAGCAGTGCCCCCCCCCCCGGGAGGCCAACATGTAGCCAAAATCTTAGTCTAACCAATGATTTTGGCATTCTCGCCGAGGCCTCCTGGAGCGTCTTGGGTGCCTCTGGGGGGCCTCTTGGGGCCTCTTGGGGTCTCTTGGGAGCGTCTTGGGGGCATCCTGGGGCCTCTTGGGGGCCTCTTGGGGTCTCCTGGCCACCTCTTGGGCCCCTCTCGGGGCACCCTTGGGAGCCTTGGGAGCGCTCTTGGGGCCATCTCGGAGGAGATCGATCAAAGAAGGGGGGTTCTCAACTAGCGCCGCCCCCCCAAGAGGCCAAAATGGGGCCAACGCCGTAGCGAAGCCAATGATTTTGGCTTCCTCGCCGAGGCCGTCTTGGACGCTCCGGCGACCCGCGGAACGCCCCCTCCAGGTCCAGGGCAGGGGTCAGGGGGAGAAGGGGAGGGGGAGGAGGAGGAGGAGGAGGAGGAAGGGAGGAGGAGGAGGAGGAGGAGGAAAAGGAGGAGGAAGAAGAGGAGGAGGAGGAGGAGAGGGATGAGGGGGTGTTACGGAGGAGGACGGAGAGGAGAGAGTGATCGCCATGAAGCTAACCTCGATTACCAAGACTCCACGCGTGTCATGGACAATCCGTTGGAGGACATGCAGGACTGAGGCACACCCCATCCCACGGGTAAATCCCCGAAGGGGAAGAAGGGGGTGGAAGATGAAACACCCTGAAGCACCTACGCCGCCCTGAAGGGCTGGTGGGATTATATTCCCTCCTTCCCGCGGACTGCCGCAATAACTAACTCTGCGGGGTAGAGTGTTATGATGCTCCAACCTACTTTAGCCTTGATCACCAGAAAGAAATTCGAGCGCTGGGCCCTGGGAAACACTCGCCCGACATTGTTTCGACACTGTTGCGACACTCTTTTGACACTCTTCCGGGTGCTTGAAATTATTTCTGGGATGCGGCCCTCAAGTAGGATGGGAACAACATAAGGCGAGTGGCAAAAACGGCGGACGTTAGAGTTAAGTCGGGCCTGTCCCCCTACAGGGGTATTTTCGACGAAAAATAAAAAACCCAAACATACCCCAACAAGGTCAACAAATCCTCAAAACACAGTCCCCAGACGGTTTTTGGATTACTTGTTGCCTAATGTTTGGGGTATCTTGTAGTTTTTCCGTCGAAGATCCCCCTCTAGGGGGACGGGCCCGACGTAAGGTCAGAGCAGCCGGCTCCTGCCGTGCAGGAGGGAGGCCCCCCTGCCCCCCCCGCACACGGGGGGCCTCCGCGGGTCGGCAGCTCACACCCTGCAGCGCGGCGCCCGCGGGGACGCCGTGGAAGGCGGCCCCCGGCGGGGGGATGGCGGGGGAGGTCGGCGCGGCAGGAGGGGGGAGGACTGGGATTACGTCGGGCCTGTCCCCCTGCGGGGGGATCTTCGACGAAAAATAGAAGATACCCCCAAACTAACCAAAAGATAGTCCAAGAGTAGCCTGAGGACCATTTTTGGAGTATGTTTTGACTTTGTTGGGGTATTTTTGGTGGTATTTCTTGTTTTTCGTCGAAAATCCCCCTGTAGGGGGACAGGCCCGACTTAAGCGTGGCAGGAGGGGGGAGGACTGAGAGGGCTCTGCTCCGCCCCGCCGGCACAGGTTGCCGGAGAGAACTAACAGGAGCAAGGCTCTAGGCCTCCCAGATGGGGTCGGGGTGGATGGGGTCGGAGGATCGCGCCGCATCGCCGATGCATCGCCGATGCATCGCCGATGCGGCTCGATGCGGAGCCCGATTTGCTTCACGATGACGTCGCCGATACACCGCCCACGTCGCCGATGCATCGCTGGTGCATCGCCGATGCATCGCCGATGCATCGCTGATGCATCGCCGATGTATCGGCGATGCGGCGCGATCCCCCGACTCCATCTACTCCGACCCCATTCAGGAGGCCTCTAAAGGCGAAGCGAATGAAGCTATACCGCGGTGAAACGAAGCGTGGGTTTCAGCTGCAGGCTGCGCCCGCGACCGCGGGCAGCCGAACCCCTCGGGGAGGGCGCGGCGGAGGCCGAAGCGGAGGAAGAGGAGGAGGAGGAGGAGGAGGAGGAGGAGGAGGAGGAGGAGGAGGAGGAAACGAGGAGGAGACGAGGAGGAGGAGGAGGAGGAGGAGGACGAGGAGGAGACGGCGGAGGAGGAGACGGCGGAGGAGGAGGAGGAGGAGGTGGCCTGCCTCGCGGGCGCTTCCAGTCCTTGCCCGAGCTGCAGCAGCGCGCTGACTGGGAGGACATCGCCTGTGTTAATACCGTTGCCACTCAGGAGGGAAAAAACACAGGCACGATTAATCGTCGACTCCCCAGAATATATAGGAAAATATGGGAAGTGGGAGGGAACACGAAAACCCAGGAAATATTGGGAAATATGGGGAATATTTTTACTTGTGTGTGTGTGTGTGTTTATTTGTGCTTCCCAGGACCCCTTCAGCCACGCCTATCACTCGGGGACTGCCCTTTGCAGGCCCTGTTACAAGTCGTGCCAGCTCGACGGGAATCCCTGGCCTGGAAGCACCTGTCTTCTAGGCGACCGACCCGCGCACCTTCCGAGTTGTGCCCGGTGGATTTAGAAATCATCAAAATACGGGTCGGAAGTTCCGACACGAATAGGTTGTGGCCTTGTTTGTCATGAAACAGGGATGTAAGGATGGCTGAGGCATCGGCGCAGCCTTCGAGGGGTGGCGGAGGGTGCGGGAGGAGGAAAGGCCCGATGCGATTCTTCGGCTCCACCCTGCTGCTGTTGGTGCGCTTCTGGCAGCGGATGCACGTCCAGTACCCCTCGCGGCGCCACCGCCACTCGTGATGACGCGCCGCGCCTCCAACCTCCTGCAACGGCGGGGCGGCCGACGTTCGCGGCGGCGCCTTCGCCAGAGCGGGGCAGGGTGGACGTGGAGGAATTGGAGGGGGTGGCGGGTGCGGCAGCGCGTCCTTGGCTGCCCGCGCGCCTGTTTGGAACCCTGCTTCGCGCTCGGCCTTGTTAAACTTGGACCTGTCCTTCGTCGAAGGGACCAGACGCGGGTACAGGAGCAGGTATCTGG